CCCCCGCCCCTTAAACTATCAACACCTGACGTTAGTGATGTTCTATAAAATCTGTTATTAATCTGTCCCTCCATATCAGTGGTTTCTAAGCCTTTCCCTCAGAATTTTATTCTGAAGGAGAATAGATTTTTCTTTTTTAATTTCTTCAACATATTTATTCAAGATTAAAATATGTTGTGTCTTTTTCAGAAATGAAAGTACTCTTGAATAAATTTATCCATTTGGAAAAAAGGTGTTCAACAAAATTTGAAAGACATCAGAAAATTTAATAAAAATTAAATATAGTGCTAGATAACGTCCATGAATGAAAATACTTTTGAATAAATTTATCCACAGAATAAAGTGTTAAGGAAAATAAGACAACTTCAGACAAGGTCGTTATAAAGTAAATGTTGTGCTATGAAATGTCAGTCATTTTAGTGGGAGTTCACTGAACTGTGAATACATTTACCTTTTATGTCATAAATGTAATGTATCTGTATGAATGTAACATTGTGTGTATATGATGATGGAAAGAAAGATGGTAAATAAATTATTGGAGAAAATTTGATATTTTGTTGTTCTAAGCATGTCTGCCAAATTAACTGATATAATATTTTGACCTACTTTCATGAAAGGTCAAAGGTCAATGGAGTCATGTACATATTAACTTATTACAAAGTAGCCTTTGAAGATGGAGTGGTGCAATGATCACTAGGTTTTTATTGAGTCACCTGCCCAACTATGCAGGTTTCCTCGGGGTACTCCAGTTCCCTCTCACGGTAAGACCCCTATAGCACCCTTAACCATCCTGGCTAACGAGAGTGATTACCCAGCACCAAATGAAGTACATTCTAAGTACAAATATAGTAAAGTTGAAGTTCCCCCAAAAAGTATTATGGAAGTCCAGTAGAAGTTCCTGCTTTAATGATGCTTCAGAGTAGAAGTGCAATATAGGTCTCAATTTTCAATGCAAGAAGTTCTTATGAAGCAGCGTTCCAATTATGTTAATGATGCTTCAATAAGACTTCCACAGCAGGGAGCGCAAATGAAGTTCCTGTATAGTTCCAATAGTGTTACCTATGAAGTGCCATTGAAGTTCAATAGCAGTACGAAAAATGCCCCCAGCAGTACCAGCGAAGTTCCCTGGGAATGCTATTGAGGTCCACTTGCAGTGCTTTTGAAGTCCCCTAGCAGTTCTATTGAAGCCCCATTGAAGCTCTATGCAGTCCCCTGGCAGTGCTGTTGAAGTTCCCCTGGAAGCACTATGAAGTCCCCCTTGAAGCCCTATTGAAGTATCCTGGCAGTGCTGTAGAAGTTCTGTGTAAATGCTATTGAAGTTCCTTAATTGGCAGACTAGGGCCGGGTAACACGGTACTTTTTCCTTTCGGCTTGGTACGTATACAGTTTTCATTTAAGTTATGTGCTGGTAAAAATTTGTCATAATATCAAGTGTCATATAAAATTGTATCAAACCTGTGTAGTGATCAAAAACATTGAAAGTACTCTTTAAATGTTTTGCTGAATACAAAATCTAGAAAAAAAACCGAACTGTAAACCTTGTAATTAAGGCAATACGTACCAAACTGCGAGGAAAGCATACCGTTTCACCCCTAGGCAGTACCAATGAAAAGTCTTCCGCTAGCACCAACGAAATCTCCTGATGCAAAAGTATATATATGATGTAAAAAACAAATGGAATAAATAAATCATTTGTTATTAAATGTTGAACTAAATGTTGAAAATGTAGATAACTCATCGGCAGCGGCCTCTTCCTCTTACTCTGCAAACTAGTACTTCAGTCCAGGTCCTCATATTATACTGCCGAACTCCTTTTTTGTTTATTGGCTTTACACCTTTTAGAGTTGAGGGAATTCCTTAGGGCCTTCACAATTTTGGTGCATTTTTGATTCGAATTGATGAGGGCAAATGCTTCAAAAAAGAGAAATAAATAACATAATTTACAATGTTTTAGAGTTACACTACAAACAAATAAAATTTGATATACATGCAACATCTTTTTAATTATCATTCTGCAGTTATTATCTGTTGTTCCTCATATATGCTGTCTATTTGAGGGTATTCAAAGATTGTTTTTTCCTTGATTAATAGAATCTTTCCCCACTTTGGAGGCAAGACAGAAAAATTCAATGGGCGGGAACAACGCATACTTGTGATGTACAATGTATTGTTAGCTTTCTTGTCTTGGTAGAATTCTTTAAAGAGGATACGAAAGTTAAGAATTTTGAAAGCTCCAAAGTAAATTTATTTGGTAAATATCAAAGGCATTAAATGGGACCTACATAATAGGTCATTGTAGCTAGCTCAATTAATCAAATTCATACAGAAGATTAATATGAAATAATTAATATATAATACACACCAATAATAGCCTCCACAATGACAGGATTGAGAGCAGTATACTTGGAGGTCTTGCATCCCGCCAGACTCCCTCCTTCCGGGTCATCTTTTGAGAAAAACATTCTTAGAAGGCTTCGTGCAATGCTCTCCCCACCCATTGTTCCACTTTTCAAAGAAGACATCTTTTGATCTTGGTGTAGGTACACAGAGGTACCAACCACCAACTCTGTCATCTAAAGCAAAAAGATAACCTCCAAAAATCCTCTTTACACCATACTTCTTTTTAAACTTTACACAGGTTTATAATGCAATAATTTGGTCATGAGGTTCCTTACTACAATCACTTCCATGTTTGTTCATTATTTCTGTATACATGGTGGGCCACTTTGTGACTAAAAATAACCAACACTGTTCATGTCGACTCCTCCGGGTCAGTGGAAGGGCCATGCCCACTTTAATATGTCAAGTCCTTCCATGTTTGTTCATTACATGTGCCCTGGATCCCCAGAGACTATTGTAGTTCGGTACACTTTGCTACTAAATAGCAAAATTTCAAAATTTCAAAAGTATTTTCTCAAATTTCTGCATAATAACTACATTTCAACCAAGTTTGGCAAGTTTGCTTGTTTTATGTGTCCTTGCTCAATGTGAATGCTGGGGTTGGTCATAATTATATACTGAAAATATCCCAAGTCATATTTTCCTTACCCTGTAGTATCATGAAACTTACTCATTCCGAGACCACTTCTGACATCAGGACTGATAGTCTGGTGACCTTTAATGCCAATGGGCCTCTTGTTATAAAGTGGATGCATGAAGGTAACCAACTTACCCCATTTCTGGCAGCAACATCTGCATCATATGTTCCTGGCCTCAATCTGCTGTATTGATGAGCCAGTTCCTGCGATGGTTTCTGTTATACAAATCAAAATAACAAATTATTGATTATATAAAGACATAGATCTATTTAGTGTTGGCAATTCAAATGACTAGACCTCAATTGATAATATCGATTTAACAAGCATTCTGTATTGCTGAAGCAATATACATGTATACAAGTCCTCCTCTTAAGTGCCCGTACCAGATTTAATGTCAAATACGTCAATTTGACCTAACTTCAAAATGATGTTCATGTTCAGTTCGTAATAATCGCTTCATCTCTTCATGCCCAGCAATGCACGACGACGAAGAAAATCCTACAAAACAATGTGTATAGTCTGAAAATTGATTGGATATTTCTGAAATTAATTCAACACTATGAGAAAAATGGTACTAACAGTAAAAATATCCACTAACTTAACCAAATTCTACTATAGTCATAATACTAGGTAATCCTATATTATAAAGATATATATATATATAATATTTATCTGTCAATAACAATCAGTGACATATATATATGTTATTGACAGATAAATATGGTATTGTCCCAAGTTTATCTGTCAATAACAATCAGTGACATATATATATATGTCAAAGATTGTTATTGACAGATAAATATGGTATTGTCCCAAGTTTATAATAAATATATATGAGCCGACATGCACTTACGGGTTCGTTCAGCTTTTCCCTTTTCCAGCTCTTTAGTGAGTTCAGCCACACTCACACGTAGTTCAGCACATGTTGGACACTGTTGGAGCTGAATGGCATTGCAGGCCTGACTAGTATGATGCTGTTTCCTAAGTTTATTCGCAGCAACAGTTGGGTAACCTTTAGCATTAAACTGTATTTCGGGCGATTCTTCAGGATCTGTTTGCTCCTGACCTTGTGAAAAGGACAAAGTTTTTATAGCAGGCATTTCAGGATATCCAAACAGTGTAGGTGACCTTTGTGATATTCTTGATGTCAAGGATACAAGTGGAGGAGTTGGTGAGCGCTGAGAGGATCTTGATGTTCGTAGGTAGGATACAGGTGGAGGAGTTAGTGAGCACAGAGAGGATCTTGATGTTCGTAGGTAGGATACAGGT